GGGTACGGATGCGCGCCTTCGAAATCCGATCAAGACAGCACCCTCGACGCCGTGCTCTGCTGACCGGACACAAATTAAGCTTCCTCCTTCGTCTCCCGTGTCTTACGAGACGTGGTCCGAATGCGAGAAGTACGAAAATACCTCAAAAATGGTCTGGCCACAGCGCGTCAAGAATCACAAACATATTATTATTATGACAATTGTTTTTATAAAAAGGATAGATTCATTTTCTCTTTTCAAGGGGCGGCCGATAGAGAGGAAGGGGGGGGTCGGAATGGGGGAGGGGGCGAAGGAAGCGTGTATTAATGATACATAGGGGCCAGTGTGTTACGTTACGAAAGGCAAGTCTGACAACCTTGACAGCGTCTGTGCATGCATTTGTTTTTCTGCTGACAGGGGGAAACATAAATGCAATTATTTAGAGGATCCTGGCGGATGGGCAGCAACTGCGTGCACCAAAATGTTTTGAGATAAGCAACTGTGAGCACACACAGGTAGTCAGCGACTTTCTCCTTTTCTGGTGGACAAGTGCTTACGCGCCAACTCCAATATATAGTGGAGAAGGAAACACGGGAGCAGCCCGTGTAGATGGGACCGTGGACAGAAAACAAGAGAGAACGAAACGTTGCCGGTATAGACGGTCTCACACGTAAAAAACCAGACCTCTGCCACGAGGAGACGGGCAAATACGGCCTAGTGTGAAACCACCGGTATACGTTCGAAACGCCGCCGCCTGGAGGCTCAGTGCTCTCCCGTATGGCTGTGAATGCAAACAGCTGCTACCAGTCAACCGCCAAAGCCCCCTAAATAACCGAATTTATGCCTATACAGTAGGGCTTGAAGGTGGAGAGCAATAGGTGAGAAAATAGGGATAGGAAAATGAGTCTAGCTGCAACAGTTGATGGCCAGTGGGATTTGCAGTTGCTACTATTCTTGAACAAAAGCCGAAGCGGGGATCTTGTTCGCACTATGTGCCACCTGGAAACTGCTAAGGGCGGTTTCGAAATTCCAGCCAAATTCTTCCAGGCACTGACGAGCGTAGGCGACATTCATGCCCGTCTGACGTCGAAACTCGGCCAGCATGACATCTCGATCTGCGAGATTTGCATTAGAACTGGTGCCAAGGAAGGCGCCGGAGGGTGCCGACGGTGGCGGAGGGAGGGATGCTGCATTTAGGAGTGACTGCTTTTTGACGTCGCGAATGTAGCGCTGGAGTTTAAAAACAAAATTAAGGAAGATATCATTGAAACTCCAAGTTTTATAGCGCCTACTTAGATGGCATAGCAGAATCGTCTAGGAGTGAATAACTGCAGAACATAAACTAAGTAGATCTGTACTGAATTCAGCTTACCTGGATGAGGGCGTCAGGAGGATTGGATATGATTAGATCGTCCTGAATAATGTGTCCACCAGGTGCCACGAGAACCATCGTACGCGCAAAGCAGCGGAGAACCTTGCGAACACCTGCATTCGCATTGCCTGGCTGCTTTACTTCATAAAACACTCCGGTGACGTTGAACAGCATTTGACTTGCCTAACGAAAAAAAGTAGGATTAGTCCATAGGAAAACTGTTGTTTATTAGCTAGCTAACGCAAGGTCATACTGGTCTATAAAGGGAACGGCACTAACCGAGTGAAATATCACGTCGACTGAGAAGGACTCCAAGAGATGCTCTGTAGCGGGAAACCGTTCCAGGGCGGAGCATATAGACACAGTCCCAACGGAAACCAGTTCTTTGCGTCGAGTCTCATCTCGGCATCGCAGGATGTTGCGATTATTCTTGAAGTAAGAGTCATCCAAATGGCCCGTCATGAGCACCACCTTCTTTTGGGGTTCACCACCACCACTACTACCGGCTTCTATGGTTTCCATTATACCCCGGTTGGAGCCATGAGAGGTTGCGTTGAGGGAGCATGTTAGAATAGACGCCGCAGTGTAGTAGGAAATCAAATTTGTGCCGCGGGGTGAGCAGTCGTACCTTGCAAAGTACCTGCAAAAGGAAACAGTGACATGAACGAGCTAGTGAAAATTCAATTATACTGTTACAAGAAACGCTTTGAATACCCTCAGCTTGTTGACTATCAGAACAGAAAATGTTAACAAGATCGCATTCACAGTTTAAGAAAACAAAACCTGAATTTAAAAAGGTCGTAGAGAAAACATACTCTTTTAAAAAGCTCAGGAGTGGGAGTTTGACCTCGTCGTTTGGGAAGTAGCCCTGTATGGAGGTCGGCAGTGGAATCCGATTCACGGAGTTAGCAGAAGGGCGTTCGCGTTCGACAGCAAACTCCACCGAAGATCGGACAGGCGAGCCGTTCTACAAGGAAATTACCGAATTGTTCAGATCCTATCAAACCACTAGATAAGGTAAACCTCTCAGAGAATTATAACATTACTCTACATAACTATTTCATTCTCCATGTCAATGTGTCGGTCTGATGATGAATGACCGAAAACAATTGTCTGCTAAAACTACTTTCCAATTATTACATTGTCTGAACTCTAATGTTCAGCGCACTTATCCAGAAGCCCGGGTAAGAACACTTTTCTCATGCGTAACTATCTCCACCTTAAAGGTAAGGATAGGCTGCATTTAAGACCTCAATGTATATTTACAGCGCCTAGGAGCCTATCCATACGAATGGTAGAGCATCACGTTGCTGGTGCGATCAAGGCTCATCTGACTGACAGCGGCCACCGAAGGGAGATCAATAAAGCATGTACAGTTATTTAGGAGCCGACGAAAGACTCCAAACTCCTGCCCAAAGGGACGCGTGCGGCGGCTGAGACTGATTTCATACGATCAGCCAAGTTTACTCAACAAATCACTGCATAGCTTGTAAGTTGATTCCAAGAGCTTACTTTGTACTTTAGTGCCCAGGCTTGATTGGCGCAGTTCAAATGTACTATGGCCAGTGAAGGGGATTTGCCTGAGAACAAGGACTTTATGCAACACGATAAAATGGCGTTTGCTGATGTAGCGGTAGATTACTGTGTGCGTGGCTACCTCCCCGGCGAATTTCGCCACGCTATCAGCAGGAAGTTAATTATCTAATGCAGGCAATGCTGGGCTTAATACAGTCCTCCCAATCTCCTTGAACATCTCCTGCCACCATGGCCCTCAAAACAGACGACAGGACACGCCTTTGTCTCGACTCCCGTTGTCTCCACGCGAACATAACTCGGAACCCGCCCCTTTATCACGTGGTTATATTAACCTAGACATTATGACCTTCAATAGTAGATGCTAGCAAGTGAACGTTAATCGGTGGCCGTCCGAGCTCAGCGCCACAACTGGCATCTGGCGCCCGGCAGAGCCATTTGTAGAGCTCGTTTCTTACAGTAAAAGCTGTTCAAATCTACTCGATTTTCCCTGACTTATGATTTGGGAAACCGTTTTGTCGACACTACTACCTCGCTTACTTGGTGCCCACAGAGAGAATCGAACTCTCGATCCCTAGTTTACGAACCCAGTGCCCGGGCTTGAGATCAGAAGGTCGGGTGTTTGGACCACGCCGGGGTCACCAATTGTCGAGCTACTTCCGTCGACTAAAAGAAAATTTCCCAAATCAGAATGAAGGCAGAGTAGGTTGGGCCAGCCTTTTACTTCGAGGAAGGGCTCTGCCAAGCGCCAGCTGCCAGTCCATATCCGCTGTCGGGACGTGTCCTCTGTCACCTGCAGACACCTGGAACGGTGGGCATTGATTTGTTTGGAGCTTAGTCACGCCTCAAGCAGTAAATCGACTGGGAGTATGAGGCGGACAGGACAACGCCAACCGAGCAAGAGCGTGTGGAAGAAGTTGTCTCTGGAGACCACCCAGAGCTTGGTAAGCAAAGGCAAGATTAGTCAGCGCAGTGATAAGCGCGGATTGCCACAGATCGACCGCGAACGGCTTTCATCCTATCCCTGAATGTGCTTGAATACGAAAACAGAAAAAACTTCCATCGACACCCTTTTTGATCCAGACGCACTTCACGTGTACGTCTACATTGATTTTGATTTTCCCAATGTCTCGTGGTTACAGACTTAGCTCGCTGTGACTAATTGTTTCATGTTTTGTCTAGACGTCATTGTAATTTCAATCGAAACGCTCCCAGTAAGGTTCATCACGTAGACTTAACCTTTTATCTCACCTGCAACACCCAGCAAATCCACGAGAAGCAAAACATGATCGCTAACGCCTGACTACGCAAGGACATACACGACACTATGACACATGCTAAAACACATCAACTAGCATCAGCAATATAGTCTAAAGTCAAGTGTTATCTATTCTTCCGGTGCTCAAGAAAATATCACAAGTTTGGACAATGCCCAGTGTGTTAGCGCAGTGTAGGTTAAAAAGTTAGGGCAAATAACTTACGAGGGTCTTCAGAGCGGGCACAAAGTGGAGGATTCGTCTGTCGGTATCGAAGATGTCCAAGAAATCCGTTGTCAAACGAAATCAGTGAAGGGATTATGACAAGACCACAAACAAAGACGTAAATAGACAGGAAGCTGTCGGTTATAGCCGCCAATGAGAAGCAGCTGAAGGGGCACACAGACACATCAGCTGATCAGTAGTGGTCTGTGTTAAAAAAAGCTAGTAAAATGGGAAAATTAACGGAAGCGGAAATGATTTCTAGGACATCATGTCAAAATCAAGATTAAATGTGGTGTCCAAGGCGAAGAAGGCTAAGCCAGCATAAAATGCGCAAATGATGGTAATATGTATTTTGAGCCGGGCAGAATGACCTAACAGGAGAGCGCAATAAGACATTGATGGGGAAGTTTGTATTTGTATTTGTTATTGTTTAAATAAGATGGTTTTTGAGTTCGAAATCGAATGGGCAAACCAAAAAATGGAAATAATCAATGTCAATGTAGAACGTGGTAGAAGTATGAATGGTGTGCCAAATATTTTGGAAACGCGCCCCTTAAAGGGGGCGCACGCGTAAGTCTTCCTGTGTTCATACGACAGGTAAGAAGTCGTGATAACTATTCTCATCAAGATCTCCAATATAATAATACAAAAGTAGTAAAAACTAGAAATCACTGTAGGCTAATTTGTTTCACTTGCTTTCCAAGCATATCTCTCAACCATATTGACTGACTTTAAGAACCCGAACAAGGAGAACCCATATATACGGTGAGCATTAAGCCTGACACCTGTTTTCGCCGACTCCTTGGAGACCTCTACGGACTGCCAGTGTAACGCACCACGCAACTGAACAGTTTGTCCAAGTAGATTTAGAAGCTTTCCTTTTGACGCGAGCCCAGTGTGTGGTCGAATTTATCGAAGGTCAGCGAAGACGATGGTGCCGTTTCCTCTTAATCGCTCACATGCAAGAGCACTGGGGCGCCTCCTACAGTGTCGTAGGTAAGAGCATCTTTGTGGTTAGCGCAGGGACGTTGGCGAGTGCCGCAGAGTTTGTGGTGAGGAGACGGGTGCGAGCACACCCTCTTTCCGCCCCCTCGCCTGACTGATCGTGACGTCGAACGGCAAGGGACGACCACTCGCGTCAGCGTCTTTTTCTCACTGGAAATTCGGTGACAATCGTCGACATCTCTTTTTGAACAACAAAGATACTCTCACTCACGATGCTGTAGGAGGAGCTCTAAGGAGCAAGGCTATCTCCTGTACGATAACCGTAGGTGCGAAGATGCATGAGCTGTGTGCCGAAAGCTCTGGAGATGCACGCCGCGTAGAATGTATAGCCCATTTTAACCGTCTGAAAGCAGGGCCATCTATGGATGGAATTCCTTGTCTGCCCTATAACTCCGACAGCCATCCGATCGAAAGATGCCTAGAGGTGCTTCCCGAAGGGGATACACGACGAAGAGCAACAGATGAGGAAGGTCGTAGGAGTACCATCAGAACGCGGAATTGCCGGATATTTAGAGTATGCTGCTAAGGACAGCAGGCTTTTAAGGGGGTGCGACGTAGAGCGTGAGTAGAAGCGTCCACGGAGTGCCGAGCGTTCTGTAAACGCGCCTTTTAAGGGGCACATGCGCGATTAATCTTCGTATTCATACGACCGCTAGGAAATCGCTAAAATTGTTCCCGTATTGATACTTAACAGGATAATACAAAAGAAATGACAAATACTAGAAATAATTGTAGCCTAACTCCTTTCTCCAGACGTTCCTTTCCTTGGCCGCCGTCATAAGGCCCGCAAGCTTCTTGCTTGTGCAGTCTCTACCAATATCGAGGAACTAATACCTGAGCACCTCGACTAGATGAGTACGAGGAAGCTCAGTAGCTTAAGAAAGCTTAAAGACCCTTTCAATTGCGACGGCAAATTCACAGGTTCGGACACCGGGAGGGCAAGCTGTCCATAGATAATTTTTGTACTAGCACGATAGTAGAACTTCCCACCATTGTCTTCCTTTACTTGGGCCGTTCTCAATGCGACTCTGGGCAAAGGTAATGGATTATACTGAAATTGCAGAGTTTTGCTAGGTCAGAGATCAGGTAGGTGCCAATAATATTGCAGAGGAAAGAATGACGCGTAAACCTCACATCGATGTAACGCTCCGTCACATTCGACTTACCGTTCCAGTGAAAGATATTCTTAAATTTGTCTAGTAAGTCGCTTAGCTTTCAAGCGCTATTACTGTCGAAATTAACCGGTATTAGCGCCGTAACATTAGCGGTTACTGTGTGTGTTAGTAGTCTGCCGCCGCGCGATATCACCTAAAGTAGTCGCCCACGCGAAGCGAACGCGTTAATTTCCAGCGCCAAGTAACTTCACCGGCTGAACTCAAGTAGAATTGAATGACGTCATACAATTTCGCAACCTTTTATTCAACTGCATGGGGTCATTGCCACTGTTATAAGATGAAACAAAGAAGCAAACCGTATGCATTTGCATAAGAGATCATGAAATTGTATGACATCATTAAATTCTGCAAACGTTGTTGTCTTTGCGTTGTCCAAAGTTCCTGCGGGAAAACAATGCTTTAAGCGTAACCGAAGTAGTTAGAAATGCGGACGAAGCATGGAAATGGTCAGTGTGAACCTTGAATTAGCAGGGATGGAGTGCAAAGAGAGTAGTAACTCAGTCGGCAGCAAGCTTAACCAAGCCACTGAAAAAAAAAGAAGCTAAACACGCCTACTATACATCAATTATTCCTGTTATTCAAGTTTGACGAACGTACATTTTCGAGTATTCATTATCAGGCAATTGCAATAATATAAAGGTTAGAGTGAACACTTCTACCCCTTACTTAATATTGATTGGGCGCTTAAACTTTCGCTCACTTTACCGTCCTTTATATTATTGTAATTGCCTGATGATGAATAATCGAAAAAGTGGGTTCGCCAAACTTAACATCCTAAAAAATGCTGAGTTGGGCATCATTTGGCCTTTTTTACTAAAAAAAACAGCATCACTTGAATAGTTTCTTGAAAAGGCTAATTCCTTAGCTTCACTAGCAGAAACCCTATTACCACCGACTCCGTACTACAGTCAGGCTGGTCCTCTGTTCTCTGACTTGGGTCTTATACTGCGTTTTTGCCCAAACTTTTTTTGTTCTAGCGATCGTATTTGTTTCTGATGTAGCGGTCAATGAGTAAAAATTTATAATCCAGGGTGTCTTTCGAATAACGGTCGTTTATCTAACGCCAAAGAAGGGTGCATGGTGGGTGGCTTATAGAGTTGTGATGAAACACCACCTA